ATTATTCTTATTAAACCCTCCCCATAATTCTGACAATCCTATTAATTGATTACGAAAATATTATTTTTGAATAAAATAGGCTGAGCTAACAACCTATCAAAATAATTACTTACCTTAATAATAATTATTATTCTTATTAAATCTTTTCCATAATTCTGCTAATCCTATTAATAATTCATTACGGAAATATTATTTTCGAATAAAATATGTTGAGCTAACAACCTAACAAAATAATTACTTACTTTAATAACAATAATTATTCTTATTAAATCTTTTCTATAATTCTGGCAATCCTATCACGTTAGATTACGTTAAATAATAATAATAATAATAATGATGATGATGATGATGATGATGATGATGATGCTATTACCCTATTTACTTTACTTTTCTTACTATTATATATATTTTTTACTAATTCTATTACATTGTAGTATCTTTTCAAACACTTTCTCAATCTAATGAAGCACACAAATTCTGAGGCTTGATCTAATGACCTCGCACATGGGAGAAGTCACTAAATGCCATATGAGCACAAGGTGTTTGGCATATATTATTTATTCTTATTTACGGTTAAATGTTTAATTTATTTTTTTCGAGATATTGTATTTTTATAATTTTGAATAGTATTTTGCATCATTCACGAAATTATACAATCATTAATAATAATGATTACGGTCAAATAATAAATTTGTAATGATATTTTGCATCTAGTACATGCATTCTTACATTATCATGCTTAGTTGTTTTATACAACTGTACACAAATTTGTAATGGTATTATTTATAATTATTTAGTGTTCAATGTTTAATTTAATTTTTTTTTCATTTATTGTATTTTTAACATTTTCAAACGTATTTTACATTGAGTACATGCATTATATTCACGGAATTATAAAATCATTATTTGACTGTAATGATTACGGTCAAATAATAAATTTGTAATTAATCTTTGCATCCAATATATGCATTCAAACATTACCCCAATATATGCATTTTATAAATAATCATGCTTATATTTAAAATTTTTAGAGTTAATACCATCTAGAGTCCTCCGAATATACTGATTTTGTCATGTTTAGTCCTAAATTTTAAAATTATCATTCATGGTCTTTCAACTTTTAAATTGTTACCATCCGTGGTCCAAATTAACCACCCATGGTCCTTCAACTATAAAATTTTAACCACCCGTAGTCCTTCCAAGAGGACCGCAGCTGGTTAAATTTTGAAAGTTGAAGGACCATGAGTGGTTAACTTGGACTACAGATGGTAACAATTTAAAAGTCGAAGGACCATGGGTGATAATTTGAAAATTTAGGAATAAACATAGTAAAACCACTATATTCGGAGGACCCTAGATGGTATTAACTTATATTTTTATAAATAACTTTTGTGTTATTCCATTCCTAAATTACTGTAATTTAGGAACTAAAGAATGGAGTTATATGTATTTGATTTTATTACTTTTTTATTATCGTAATCAATAGTACTGTAATTTATTCCATTTTTAATTTTTTTTAATGGACTCAGTGTAACAACATTCTTATTTTTAAAATTTTTAATGGTATTTTGCATCATTCACGAAATTATACAATCATTGATAATAATGATTACGGTCAAATAATAAATTTGTAATGATATTTTGCATCTTCTTACATTATCATGCTCAATTTTTTTTACCCATGATTAAAAATTTTTATAATGGTACCATTTAGAATATTTAGTGTTCAATGTTGAATTTAACTTTTTTTTTTCATTTATTGTATTTTTAACATTTTTAATCGTATTTTATATTAAGTACATACATTCACGAAATTATAAAATTATTATTTGACTGTAATCATTACGGTCAAATTATAAATTTGTAATAATTTTTTAAATAACTTTTTTGTTATAAATAATCATGTATTAAATAGCTTTTGTGTTATTCCATTCCTAAATTACTGTAATTTAAGAAATAAAAATTGGAGTTATATGTATTTGATTTTATTACTTTTTTTTATTATCGTAATCAATATTACTATAATTTATTATATTTTTAAAATATTTAATAGACTCAGTGTAACAACATGCTTATTTTAAAAAATTTTAATGGTATGCATCCTTCACAAAATTATACAATCATCGATAATAATGATTACGGTTAAATAATAAATTTGTAATGGTATTTTGCATCCAGCACATGCATTCTTACATTATCATGTTCAGTTTTTTTACCTGTGATTACAAAAATTTATAACGGTATTATTTAGAATATTTAGTGTTCAATGTTTAATTTAACTTTTTTTTTCATTTATTGTATTTTTAACATTTTTAATCGTATTTTAAAAAGAATTCATGCATTCACGAAATTATAAAATTGTAACTACTATTTTTTTGTGCATACCTACATTAATTTTAACTACTTTATATGTTGATCGTTCAAGATACCTCCCTGAAGCAAAGTGCAATCTTTTTTTTTTTTTTGGGTGTGTTTGATAAGATGTATTAATAATTTGTAATTTTAAATATTTTGTATTGAACTTTTATTTTTTATTTTAAGTAATTACTAATTTTAAATATCAATTCTTATTTTAATTGCAAATGTCTCCATATAATTTTTTTGTTATTATCAAATCAACATAATTAGTAAATGACAAAATTATATATTAATGAATAAAGCTCATATCTACTTTTTATATTAGAAACTTAATAACATTAATATTTTTTGATAATATAGTGTAATTTCAATACTTATAATTTTTAGTCTGTGCATTGCACGGGTATCATACTAGTTTATTTGAAATTATAAGATTTGTATATTAGTATTGAAATTGATTACTTAAAAATTATATTAGGAAAAGTCTAAATATACATATATATATATATATATATATATATATATATATATATATATATATATATATATATATATATATATATATATATATATATATATAGAACAAAGAGCATGGCTAGAGCGAATTATCATTTTTCGCGTCCAAAGTAACTTTGGACGCTAATTGTATATATAATTAGCGTCTCCTACATCCGCGTCCAAGCCTTTTAGCCTTAACTTTGGACGCGAATGACTGTTTTTGTACTAGTGAAAGCTAAAGTATGAGCATGTAAGTTAAGCACAAAAAAGAGAACAAAAAGAGAACGAGGACATTAAAGCCCTACATTGGTCAACAATCACACCAACATAGGAAAAAAAGGCTGTATTTCGGGATAGAACACAGCTGCGCAACTCTGAACAGTCGGTGAGCAAGTCTACAGATAACACGTTCCGACCCATAAGCCACGATAGAACCTGCTGGCAAGCCAGCGATTTCTCCATAAGTATTTATTTGCATTTATTTTATATATTATTAGTTAAAGTTTTTTGTTTTTTTTAAAGCTTTCTATTTCTCTATTTCTCAATTTTTTTTAGAGTTAATAATGCATTTTATACGAGCAAATTACAAAAATGGTCCCCCGACTATGTTCATTTCACCATTTTAGTCCTAGTCATTTTGAATTGGCTAATTACATCCTTCGACTATCAAGTTTTTAACCGTTTTGGTTCTCTAGAGACTTAAGGCATCAGATATCCGGCGAGTGTAAGGGTAAGGTAGTAATTTCAATATAATTTGGACTTCTACTTTCACCATATTGTATTAGTTTGTCAAAATCCCCAAAATGTGGTCAAATAAAACCATTCCAAGTTATATGCGTCAAATTAAATCCTCGCCGTCGTTGCATCCATAGCAAAAAACTTTCCCACTAGTGCACATATTCACTACAAGGCTTGCAGATTGGATAGATGATACGACAATCTAGGCAGCTGTATCTAGATTGCCGAGAATAGTAAGTATCGACGCGATTTCCAATCCGGTGACCACCTGGGCAACTGCACAAGCTTTCCTTCAATAATTCCTTGATTTTTCGTCAAGACATGATTACAATCCTGCTCTGACTGAAATTGGATAAAAATCTGTCTCACATTAAGCACACCTATTTGAACCTCAGCCGAGATAGCAGAACTCTCCTTGAATTTATCCTAATTTGATCAATTGGAGGCCTCTCCTATATAAATCGCCCCTTCAAGGTAAATTTTTTCTTCTTTGGCAGCTAAATCCTTCCATTCGTTCTCCTCAAATTTCACTACTGGTCTGCGTTTTTACCTTGTTGATTCGCTGGAATTGCTTGTTGATTTTGATCGCTCCGCACTGGATCTGCATAAGATCGCAATAGAGTATGCGGAAGGCGCCTCCCTTGATTGTTCGTAGCCTCAAATTGATCTGATGCTCCTTCGGGATTTTCCAGATTGATCAAGGTAGTATGTGCCTTTCCGATATGGCTCTGCATCACCAGAGCAGTCTCTGTTGCAATCAATGTTGAAAAAAGCGCTAGGCGCCGATTAATCGGCGCCTAAGCGCGATTTTTGCAACATTGGTTGCAATCAAAGCATTTCCTTCAACTTCTGCATTTGTTTCCAGGCAGGATTTATTTACTAGAGAAATTCCTGGAATTTGTCCATATTCTGGCAATCGGTTGGTCGCCGGACCACCGCCTGCCGCTGACTACCACGGATTATCGGAAAACTCATATAATAATGGATGAATTTATGAATGTATGAATACGTGTATGAATGTCGGGATGAATTTATGCATTTTGGTCAATTTAGGAATTTTAGAAGATATTGTGCGAAGCTATATATACATGTATTGTTTTAATTTATTTGAATAATTGAATTTGATTATATTTATCTTGCTTATTTTAATTGTGTATTGTTTTATTGTGTATAAATTAGGGTATAAACTAGGGTTTTATATACAATATAACCAATCGCAAGCGCAATAGTTGAGTTCTCATAATTTCCATCAAAATATACTGTCTAATTCATCAGAATATAAAAACAATTAAAAACTTGATAGTCGAAGAATGTAATTAATCAATTCAAATGATTAGGACTAAAATGATGAAATCAACTTGGTCGAGGACCATTTTGATAATTTGCTCCATTTTATACTTGGGCTAATCACCAACTCGTTGATTTTTGATCCTTGAACGCCAAAAAAAAGTACTCGGAGAAAGCATACTGCAGTTCTACTCTCACGTTTATAAGACCGATGGTTCTTCTGAAGGCTGTTTCCCAGCACAACGTCTTCTACCTCCCAATATTTCATTCTTTCGGATACAGAAAAAGTTAGGGTTTTGTTTATCTCAAAATCGCCACTGAATTTAAAGTTGCCTACTCGGTTTGATTTGACTGGAAGTCCGAGCTCAAATGGCCTGTGTATATATTCCGGTGCAGAACTCGGAGGAGGAGGTACTAGTCGCCCTGGACCAGCTTCCAAGAGACGCTTCTGATATACTCGACATTCTTAAAGCCGAGCAAGCTCCTCTTGATCTCTGGCTAATTATCGCTGTAAGTATTTCACACGTTCACATAGACATACACGGTTAAGTTTAGACCTTAGAAGAAAAATTAGGAATCTTTACTGCGAAATAGGGATGCTTTGTATATGCTTGAATTTCAGTAAATGTATGAACATATATGCCTCCAAACTACAGTATTTCTTTTTCAAATGAGTATGAAAGTTTGCTTCTAATTTTGTGTTGAACTTTGCATTTTTTTTTTCTTTTTGGTTGTATAAACTGAAAAGCACACAAATGTTATTATGGCTACAAGCTAAACATGCATATGAATTCCTCTGTACATGTTTTATTGTTCATTTGAGTGTGCTTACTTGCACGTAGTACAGCAGTGGTTTCAAAGGCTTGTATTTTTCTTGGACATATAGTTGTACTATGTGCTGAATTAATATTTCGTTCTTGTTGGCAAGTTACGAATTCAATGTTAAATTGGCATGGAGTTTTCATTATTTGGGTTTCATCTCACACATTTGGATACTGTGGTATTTCATGTCTTGTTACTTTCTCCTGGAAAGAGATTTCTAATCTATTCTGCTTGCTGGTCATTATGTTAAGTGTTATGTTATTCTTATTTTTCGTTTTCTGGTTTTGGGGCAGAGGGAGTATTTCAAACAAGGCAAAATTGAACAGTTTCGGCAAATATTGGAGGAGGGATCTAGTCCAGGTACTATTTTCACACAGCAGTGAACAATACTTTGTTAACATTCTACTGGTTATTTTGTCTATTGGTTTGCTCAATGTTACATAGTATGAGATATTAGGATTAATATACTTCCATTTCATTTTTCTTTCCATTCTTGCTTGAAAAATTTCAATTTTCAAATGATGTTATTGCTTCTCCGAATGTAATTAACTTGTACTAGGATTGCTACCCTGCAGACATTGATGAATATTATGCGGATGTGAGGTATGATAGAATTGCTATTCTAAATGCATTGGGGGCATATTATAGCTATCTTGGGAAGATCGAGACAAAACATAGAGAGAAGGAGGATCACTTTATAATGGCAACTCAGTACTATAATAAGGCGTCAAGGATTGACATGCACGAGCCTTCTACCTGGGTTGGGAAAGGTAAAAGCTAATGTAGAGAGCCATGATAATATCCATTGGTAGCATTGAATTATTGACTGGCTAAAGATTTTGGATGGTTATATGTGTCTGCTTTACAGGTCAGCTTTTACTGGCCAAAGGAGATCTAGAACAGGCATTTGCTGCCTTCAAGATTGTACTGGATGGAGATCGAGATAATGTGCCTGCTCTTCTTGGTCAGGTATTCTCAATTTATGCTTTGTTTTGTTACTTGAATAGTTGAATATGTTACACAACTTTATTTGGTATAATTAATTAGGAGCATTGTGTCTGTGTGATTGTTGGATGACTTGATTTGCTCAATGAACGGGTGTTTAATCAACTTTCAAACTTCCATGTAATAGACAAATTTGTTTTTGATATTAATCTAGTACCAGACATGTTTATTCCTTAAATTGGCATTTTAAAACATAAGTTATGGCTCTTTTAGTGTGATTTAATGATGAACTGATTCTTTCTTGTATTTCTTGAGCTCGCATATCATATGGTTTAACTGTGTTTGCAACTACCCTAGCTTGTTAACTTTTTTGTGTTTGGAGTATACCACAGAACCTTCACATTTACTAGCCATGGGCTTGAAAATCTGTTTGGCTTTCATATTAATTGATTATTCACTTGCCTGCAGGCATGTGTTCAGTTTAGCCGGGGACGATATTCTGATTCATTGGAGTTATATAAGGTTCATTTAATTATCCAATTTTTGTTTCTGTATTTATTTTTTTCTTTAAACAATGTGTACTTGCCAGCCCCTGGATTGGAAAGTGAACTGGTGTTTCACTCCTTTCAGTCAAGGGAGTTGCTGTGAGATTTTAACTTCTTCATAACATTTCCATGTCATCTATATGCTTTGATCAGAGGGCCTTGCAAGTGTACCCTCAATGTCCTGCTGCTGTAAGACTTGGAATTGGTCTTTGCCGATATAAATTGGGTCAACTTGTGAAGGCAAAGCAAGCATTTCAGCGTGTCTTGGAGGCAAGTTAGCCTCAGCTATCTAATTGCAGATTCAATTTGTTATCATTAGTTAAAGATTCTTTTTAAACATGACATTAACATGCTTATCATCTTCACAATAATTCTACAATTATAGTTAGATCCAGAAAATGTGGAAGCTCTTGTTGCACTTGCTATTCTGGATTTGCAAACTAATGAAGGTGAGTGTTATTGCATGTAGCAGCAGCATTAGATTCTTCTGGATCAAGTTTGTGTTATTTTGTTCTTCTGGACTAGCTTAACTTTAAAAATAGATCGTCACGTTATTCATTTGATCTAAGTGGGTGTCACATGTCTTTGAACAGCTGGTGGCATTAGGGGAGGAATGGAAAAGATGCAAAAAGCTTTCGAGATATATCCTTATTGCGCAATGTCACTAAACTACTTAGCCAATCATTTTTTCTTTACTGGTCAACATTTTCTGGTTGAGCAACTTACTGAAACTGCACTTGCTGTTACTAATCATGGGCCGACTAAGTCACATTCTTACTACAATTTGGCGCGCTCATATCATAGCAAGGTCCATGTTTCATCCTTTAATGAATCTTAATTCCGTTCCCCTAGTTTTGACATAGTTTGGGTGGGTGGTCTGATACTTGAATGTTCAACATCACTCTGACAATTATGATACTTTAATGTAATAATCTGAGTGTATTTTAGAAACATAGTTTTGATTTTCTTACTCGGTATTCTTGACTAAACTTAATTTAACATTTACAATGGTTCTTATTTACCAACTTGGGTTTCTTTTGTTTTTTTTTTTTTTTTTTTTTTTTTTTTTGTTTTTCTATTAGTTAGCCAACATATTTCTTAGTTTTTGCATACTTGTAATATATTTATTACTGAGTAGCAGGGTTCCTTTAGTTAAGACTAATACTATGTTGATTAATGACACTATTATGACATCAATTTTAAGAATTATGCCTCTGGTAGGATTTGGTTTTCCACCTCAATATTCTAATGATAAGTACGTTTTCCTTGACTCAGGGAGACTATGAAAAAGCTGGAATGTACTATATGGCATCTGTAAAAGAAATCAATAAGCCACAAGAATTTGTATTGCCCTATTACGGTATTTGGACTTCTCTTTCTTATTTGTATTATAAATTCTACCACATAATATAGCTATTGTTTACTGTATTAGGTTTTAATATTTTTATATTGTGAAGGGTAAACATGTGATTAATATGTTGAGAACTCTTAATATCCTTAGGAGACTATTGGCATTTCAGTCAGACTACTTAGTTATCTGACACCCTATAAATATGCTCCAACTTCCTTTCTGTCATGTCAATATAGAAGCTATTTAGTTTATATCTCTCTACTTGCTTAGCACATAACTTCTGCCTCACCTGCAGGTGGAGGCCCTTCATCTGCAGGGCTTTTCAACCTTTAATTTATTGACACACACCATTTACAGAATTACAGCAATACTGTGATGCCAAGTGTTACTAGTGACAGATTGTTATAGGCGTAGGAATACAGAAATATTTGGTCATTTGGTTTCTTTAATAAGGAGGGTATGACATCCGGAAAAAATGGGGATTAATCCTGGGTGGCAACGTACTTAGCATCTCCTCTTTTAAATTCTTCAATGAATGGCTCATCAGTTGTTAGCTGACAGTTGTGTTAGAGGAATATTTAATATTTGCCAACCTTGGTTAATAGAAGCAAAACCAATGCTTGGGTTAATACTTCTCCCCAAATTGACCCTCTGCCCTTCACCAACTAATAAACTGAAAACATGTAATTCTTATCACCTAAATTAAAAAGTGGTATTTAGTTTTACCTATGTGAATAGGATAATATGGAAAAATGTATCCATCACTCAGCCCTCCATGTCCTCAATTAAACCACACACATGTACCCACTTTACACCATGTCAGGATGGGTATTTGGGTAGAGGAAGTGCATTAATATTTTACAGGCCAAGGATTGAGAAAGTGGAACTTGATCATTTACTCCCACACTTGCTGTGATTGTTTCAAATAGGGCTGGGACAAGTTCAACTGAAATTGGGAGATCTTAGGAGTTCACTGTCAAATTTTGAAAAGGTCTTGGAGGTTTATCCTGAGAATTGTGAGACACTAAAAGTAAGCTATTGGTGTTATTTAATCTTCTTCATTTTTACTTTTCTCCATTCTTCCATAAGTCTAACATACCTATGTTTGATGTAGTCTCTTGCCCACATTTATGTGCAACTTGGGCAACCAGAGAAGGCTTTGGAGTATTTGAGGAAAGCCACCAAAGTTGATCCTCGTGACCCTCAGGTTATTATCCTGTCTTGTAAAACTTATTTCCAACAATTTTACTATTCAAGGTGCTGCAAAACATGGGGATGGCCTGGATGGCCTGAGAAAAGGAAAGGAAATGATTGAGGAGAACGGGCTTCTCTGAAGAAAATGAAAAGATTATTGATTCATTGACCTCTTTTCCTATTTTCTAATGGAAGGGGTTCTAATTCTTATTTTTATCAGTTTGGAATTCTAGTATGTATTGAAATTGTTTTGCTTATAAAGTTATTGAACTTGTAGTCCAACCACATAATTTCTTATTGTGAGTACATTATTGCTTGTGGTGCAAATATTGAGTGTAAACACCACTAACTTAGCATTTATTTATGAAAGATATGCTTATGTTCATTTGACATTTACAATAGTCCCAATTTTTGATCATTTAAATTGAATGCTTCATGTGTCACCATTAGATATGATACTTTCATCTGGTTGTGTGAAAGTTGAATGGTCTGCATTTTTCTGTTTGCTGATTATTCATTTTGATTCTTCTTAGGCATTTCTGGATCTTGGTGAACTTTTAATTTCAACGGATGCAGGTGCTGCTTTAGATGCCTTTAAAACAGTAAGAGCCTTAACTTTTAATGTTTTGTGGACTTGCCATGGTTCCTAGTGCTTATTGATCCTTTTTGGTTCTGTATGTGTATTTGATTTTGGGAGGACTGGGGGGTTGGAAATAGGATTCGAAGGTTTCTACTTTGGAAGAGTTCTTGGTTTTTCTAGCTTGAGAGCTGCAGTTACCACTTTTCGCTAAATACAATAAGCTGTATTTCTTTCAAAAGATGTATTATTTATAGTATGGGACAAATTTGCTTGTGTGCTCTCTTTTTTAACATTTTTTGTAATGGAAAATTGAACTTTCCTATCAATCATCTTAGATTCCATTTGTTCAGTGTTCTTGTTAAAGACTTGGGCTTGTGTAAGTCTCACCACCAAATCTTGGGTGTGCAAGGCATCATGCTATAACTTGTACCCCCACCCTCCATTTTTTTTTTCTGTGCAATAATAAAATGGTTATTTTGCTTTAAAAAGTTTCTGCAAATTTGGTTTAGTTTTTAATTGCTTTTTCTTCCAATTGATGTTAATTTTATTATGCTTTTACTTTCATGTGATAGGATGATTAGACCTAACTTCTTGTTGCAGGCACGTAATTTATTGAAAAGGGCAAATGAAGAAGTACCTATTGAGCTGCTGAATAACATTGGAGTCCTTCATTTTGAAAGGGGAGAATTTGAGGTTTGGTACCTACCCTAAGTTTTATGCCGCATTATGTACTGGTAGTTGCATGCATGCTTGAACATGCCATCTACAATTTAAACTTTCGAAACTAACATAACTGAAAGTTCTGTTGATTTCCAGCTTGCTGGACAAACTTTCAGGGATGCTTTAGGTGATGGCATATGGTCTAAGTTCCTTGATGCAAAACTGCAATCTGATGCTAATGGGAAAGCTCCAAATGATGAAGTACTTCAGCATTCCAATGGTGAAGGACCATGTGAACTTTTCAAAACTGTGCAATATCCAATGGATGCCAGTGCATCCATCCGTCAATACAAAGACTTCCAATTGTTTAGGAGACTTGAGGAACAGGGTATTGCTGTAGAACTTCCTTGGAATAAAGTTTCCCCACTGTTTAACCAGGCAAGATTGCTGGAACAGTTATATGACACAGAAACTGCCAGTATCTTTTACCGCCTGATCTTGTTTAAGGTAGGTGTTTCCATCTGACATTATGATAAATTGATAAGGATGGGGATGATGCATTAATAATGAATCTAGTAGTTCTGAGATTGAATATTTGTTTTGAGATATTTTGGTCTCTGCTTAAATCTTTATTGTGCCTAAATTTTAGTAGTATCTACTGTTCTTGAAGAATCATAAATTGATGATAATCTGATGGAATTGTTACATTTTATAGTTTTGAAAGAAAGGACTGTAATCCCCTAAAGAGGAATACCTTAATATATCAAACACAAAAAGCACTATGATATTATTTTCCTTGGAAGATGTGCCACCGAAAATTGAATGCTAGGTATTGCCTTATTGATGTATGGTTTTAAAATGCTGTCTGTTGGGGCTAGCAAACTTTCTTGTTATTGAGGCTACAAATGTAGCATGCAATGATGTAGATGTTACTGGTGCTATTAAAACTCTGATGATGCAATAATTGCTGTAACTTTTTGAACCTTGGATGTTTTGCCTTTGCGTGACTGAAGAATCTCGCAGAAATGCATTGACATAAAATGTTCTTTAGTCTCTTTGGTTTCTTTTCTTTTTAATTTTTATGGGGTATTTTTTATTATTGTAAACTTTTATGCTGTCATTGGAAGATTTGATCTGACTAGTTTCCTTGAAAAATCTGAACTCTTTTATTTGGTTTCAGTATCCAGACTATGTAGATGCTTATTTGAGACTTGCTGCAATAGCCAAAGCGCGGAATAATGTTCAGCTGAGCATTGAGCTGGTTGTTCCTCCTCTAACAGCCCTTCTTTGCTACACCTCCATTTTATTTACTTCCACTTGATTGTTAAATTCATTAATACAAGATGCTTTTGTTCATAGATTGGTGATGCTCTCAAAGTGGATGATAAGTGCCCAAATGCATTATTAATGCTTGGGGACCTGGAAATTAAGAATGATGATTGGGTCAAGGCAAAAGAAACATTCCGAGCAGGCAAGGAAGTGATTGATGGAAATGAATCTTATGCTACTCTTTGTCTGGTATGCACATAAATTTTGATATGGTTTGTACTATATACTTCCTCTGTTCCATTTTATGTGTTTGGTTCGGTTAACGATGTTTGACTGAATTTATTTTTAATTCAAGTTTTTATAATATTTAGTATTAATATATAAAATTTATGTATTTAGAAACTATATTAGAAGTACTATTAAACACGAAAAATCAAATTTAAAAATAAGTAACAAATACTAAAGAAAATAAGCAAAAAAGAACGAGTTGGTTTGACCAATGAATAGTAAATAGGACAGAGGGAGTACTTTATATTTCTCAACTGGTCTTAAATATGCCTTTAGCATTTCTTTGTACGTGTACTGACATAGAAGTTGCATTGAGTACTATAAGACTTAGTTTATCATGACTTTTGATTCCATTTGATACTGAACATGCTTACATGCAACATACTCTGATCCATTTTTTTTTTTGACATTTTTAGGGAAATTGGAACTACTTCGCTGCAATTCGCAATGAGAAAAGAAATCCTAAATTGGAAGCTACACATCTGGAGAAGGCTAAGGAGCTCTATACAAAAGTATTTTCTTGCCCTGCCAATTTCTATTTTCTCCTTTGCCTTGCGAAAGGCATTTGATATCCTTATTATTGAGTCTTGTTCATTTGTTTCATTTTTTGAAACACTGGAATATAGTTGGATGGAATTGTGATTCCAATTTACCTCTGATTCCTCCTGCACACAAGGAATAGGAAAAAGATTTGATCACATCTCCCTAACTTTAGACCATTTCAGTCCCACAACAGCAGAAACAAGAATGTGAAAAATGGATTAAATGAACAAGCTATTTTGAATAAGTAGGCCATGCAATGATTTTTACCAGCTTTAACTGCAAATATGTTCCTTGAACTGTCCTTTCTCATTTTAACATTTCCTCTACATCCATTGACATTGAGATTTTGTTTCTTATTAGGATTTTTTCTATTTAGCCTTCATTATTTCTCCTGTAAGAAGATATTTCACACTTCATATATGATGTGAGAATACAGTGCTGTGTATACATGCAGAAAGTCTATAAGAAAGGAAAGACTATCCCTATAATCATGCCATCTTATCCCTACAATCATGTTAATCCTATCCTTAAGATTAAGTGATCCACAATCTGTGTATTCATTCTATTTACAATTCATAACATCTCTTAATTAAATAGTTTGTTTCCCAGTATACTAAGATGCTATATTCTACCAGGTTCTCTTTCAGCATAACTCTAATCTATATGCAGCAAATGGTGCTGGTGTTATTTTGGCAGAAAAAGGTCAATTTGATATTTCAAAGGATCTTTTCACCCAGGTAGTTAATGGATTATACATTTGCTACACTGAAGGGAAAATTCATAAATTACATGGTAAATTTTTTGTTGTCCATTCTTGTAGGTTCAAGAAGCTGCAAGCGGAAATGTTTTTGTCCAAATGCCAGATGTATGGATTAATCTTGCACATGTTCACTTTGCCCAAGGAAATTTTGCACTTGCAGTGAAAATGGTTTGTTTCGTTGTTTCTTTTTCTTGATTTAACAGTTATGTCTCAAACTTTTTGCTTCACCTCTTGATGATACTGGACTTTTGCAGTATCAAAATTGCTTGCGGAAATTCTATCACAATACCGACAGCCAGGTGCTTCTCTATTTAGCCAGAACACATTATGAAGCTGAGCAGTGGCAGGACTGCAAAAAGACTCTGTTAAGAGCCATCCACTTGTCACCTTCAAATTACACATTAAGATTTGATGCGGGTGTAGCATTGCAAAAGTTCTCTGCCTCAACCTTACAGAAGACAAAGAGGACTGTTGATGAGGTTTTCCAAACAAAGCCCTCTTTCTTCTTCCTTTATGGTTTTTTCCCTTTCTTGTATTGACTTGTGTGGGCAAATACTTTAGTCCTTTCTTGATTGCCAACCTTTTTGTGCCCTGCGTTTGAATTTTCCAGCTACAATTTATTTTAAGCTCACTGCACCTTTGATCTGCACAATTAAATGAATTCACCATGGATTTGTAATAAGTAATCCTTAGAGCATGGGATTCCATTTATAGGTTAGTGCTAAATGGAACAAATTGTCCACACTTTGGCTTTCTACTATAGATCATCCAATGCCAGTATTGGCATTGTCATGTATAAAGTGATAAACCATGCTGTTTAGCTGAGCATGTGGCTCAAGGGGAATAACTAAGACAAAGTCCATTCTCATACACATCATAAAATTGATTTCTGATTCATGTATTTTATTCAATTGAGACAGGTGAGGTCAACAGTTGCAGAGCTTAAGAATGCAGTTCGTTTATTCAGCATGTTATCTACTGCTTCTAATCTTCACATGCATGGATTTGATGAGAAAAAGATTGAAACTCATGTTGAATACTGCAAGCACTTACTCGAGGCAGCCAAAGTCCATTGTGAGGCAGCTGAGCGTGAAGACCAACAAATTAAGCAGAGACTGGAGCTTGCTCGTCAGGTTATATTGGCTGAGGAAAATCAAAGAAAAGCTGAGGAACAGAAAAAATATCAAGTAAATGCCTAAGCTTTTAACATATTGTAAATGTTAAGCATTTAGCATATTATAAAGATGCTTCATTGCTTTGTGTTTTCCATATTTAATCTCTGAAACAGATGGAGAGACGGAAACAGGAGGATGAACTTAAGCAAGTGATGCAACAAGAAGAACATCTGTTGCGCAAAAAGGTAATTATTCTCCTCTCAATTCTATAGTTCCCGGTGGTTAGACATCTTGCCATGTTCTTTTAATGTTCCGTTGCAACTTTATTCTCCATTGTAATCCATAACTCTGCATTTCTAATACACCATGCCTAGATTTTCATAGTTCCCAATGACCAATAGCTCACAAGTGCTCCAGCTAACAATTTGTTTATTATTCTGGTAGAATGTACTTCAGATAATTCTTGAAAGATGTCATTCTTAATCAAATACTTGTTCTATTGAAACTATGACTGGTTCCTAAAATACAAATCTGAAGTTGTTTTCATCATGAAGACTTCATGTTTGTTTTTCATCATTTCTGAATTGGTTAGTTTTCCTTCAGTGCTTTTTCATCTGGGAAATTGAACCTTATATTTCAATTTTTTGTGAAGGAACAATGGAAAAGTAGCACTTCTGCCTCTAAGCGAAAGGATAGACCACATGCTGAGGATGAAGAGGGGGGCAATGGTGATCGGAGGAGGAGAAAGGGTGGGAAACGCAGAAAGAGGGACAAAAAATCACGCTTTGATTCTGAAGAAGCAGATATGGATGATCAAGAAGAAATAGATGAAGATGGCAATATGAATTACAGGGATCATGATCACGATGATCAAGCAGAGAACAATCCACAGGATCTTCTTGCAGCAGCTGGGCTTGAAGATTCTGATGCTGAGAATGATGGGGTAATTCTTCTATCTTGTTGCCTATAAATATTTAATGTTATTATGTGTGTGTGTATATGTATGTATGTATATAAGTATATTTTGTTTCTAACTGGTTTGAATCTCTTTTTGATTGCTGAAGCCTGAACCTCCATCAAATGTGAATCGACGGAGGCATGCCTGGTCTTCAGATGAGGAAGATGATCCGTTGCAGAGGCAGGGTAGTGACAGAGGAGGTGATGGTGAAAAGCCAAACGATGCTGATGAGTAAGATCAAATTCTGAAAGAATCTGAGGTTGGTGATAACTAGTCCATTTGTTTGGGCCAAAATCTGCACAAGCATGATTAGGGAAAATTATAGCATGGATCAGGTCTACCTTGCATTGTGGACCTTGGTTCAAAAATAACCTTCAAATTCAGTATCTGTAGTTGACACATTTTGTACTTGCAAACATAACTTGTTAACCAACATCTTATGTGTCCGCAGTTAACATATTCTATACCTGCAGTTGACAATTATGTGATTGTAGTTATCATGCTATGTGCTTTCAATTTGTTTACATGTACAGATTAACTGCAGGTACATCATGTGTTAACTTGCAGACACATAATTTTTGGACCAGATTCACAATGGAATATGAAACCTGGTCCATAGTATAAGAATTGGATGATTAGCTAGCTAGCCAGCCAGAAAGAAAAAGTATCAAAGATTAATATTCATGTTTGTTCATGTTGCTTGCTCAAATCCAGCTGATACAGAGCATTAAAGCCATTTTGAACAGGGCCCCCTTTGTCAGAAACATAAAATTTCGTATACTAAAATCCAAAACATAAAAACATGTGGGGGAGAGGGGTGTATGAATGAATGCTGGTATATGTTGTTGAAGGCATTAATTTCAGTTGAAAAATGCTTGAACTACTGCTACAGCTCTGTGCTTTGTTCTTTGCAGTTTCCCCTTTAAACTTGTCTGAGTTTTCCCACACTGCTCTGTCCCAATACATTTCTGATCCATCATTGTCTACTGTTGCTGTGGGTAGGGCCGTAGGCCGCAGTCCACAGTCCACAGTCCTTGAATTTCATTTCATTTAATTTTGCAGCAACTTATAAGTAGTGCTACACCCTCTCTTTTTTTGCCTTCTCTATTTATATTGCAATGGAAATCAATTCTAAAATGATGAGTTAATACTCAAAATGACCCCTCCATAATGTCATAAATCTTAAATTGGTTCTTGATTTTTACTCCGTAATTTATACAAAATGGACCTTAACTATGTAAACTTTTACACATTTTATTCCTCCACTACGGGTGTGTTTGGGTTAAACATTGGAATTGGAACGGTAATACGAATCAAATATTTGGTAATAGTAATAGGTTGGTAGTAAATAGGAATTGAAATCAAAATAAATAATTAATTAATTAAAATAAAAAATATATAAAAATATATACACACATGTATGTGTGTGTATTATATATATATATATAGGAAAAAGTTCAAATGCGGCGGGTCTTCCCGTGCGGTGGTGTGGCGGAATTTCAGAATACACCAACAGTGTTAACAATATGCACCAACAGTGTAAGGAAAATACACCACAATGAAATGCAATAAAACATCAAAAAATATACAACAGACCCAAAAAAATATACTATATAACTCACAACCCCCAATGGTGTATTTCCGAACACTGTATGGTGTTTTTACTCACACCTAATGATGTGTTTTTGGTGATGTGTACCTAATTTGTCTTTGTTTTTTGTGGTGTATTTTTCTAACGTTGATGATGCATATTTGTTGAACTATTGGTGATGCCGCACCGTCACACCTGAACTCGCCTCTCTCTCTCTCTCTCTCTCTTTCTCTCTCTCTCTCTCTCTCTCTCTCTATATATATATATATATATATATATATATATATATATATATATATATATATATATATATATATTCCATATTTAATGTATGGACAATGACTTTTTATTTAATACAAAAGTCCCTAACCAAACACGCCTTAACTAAATTTTTTTGCATGGTCCATGGACCATTTTAAATGGATTGGTAGTTGAAGGCTAATTTGAGAATTATGAGATAGTAGACTATTTTAGATATTATCTTAACACGAAATTAGGATTGCTAGACACTTATTGGAGTAATACTACATGATTAATTCGGTCTGAATTAACCGAAATATAATTCTTTTTTTTTTTTTTCTGAATGCTACTGACTCTATTACATTGTAGTATCTGTTCAAAACCGAAACATAATTCAATTTGCTTAATTTGATAAATTGCATTTTGTTTCAATAAATAGTTTCACCAAAATGAAAAAATCGATTAGACCATTTTGGAATTAATTGAATTAATCAAATGAGAATAGTTCAGTTTGGAATTAAATGAATTAATCAAATGAACATCCCTACTTATATTTTTATGTAAAAGAGCAAAAGAGAGTGCATCTAGTATAACTTTGGAATAAATTCCAAATGAGTTCTTTTATACGGTTAGTTGAGCATTTGTTCTAGAGTGATACTAAGTGGAATAGTTCATTCCAAAGTTTTTAAATCTGGATAATAGGGGTTTAAATTTTTTGAGTCGAAAATATTTGAGAGAGTATAGAATAAATATTACATTGTAAAAAACAGTGTTGTAAAACTCGGCCGCCTAGGCGCTAGGCGCACTAAACCTTGCCCTTTTTGGGTGCAGGCGGTCGCCGGCCTCCAACTCGGCTGAGTCATCCGATTTTGACCGATTTCGTCCAATTTTGACCAATTTCGTCTTTCGTTAATTATTGATTTTAATATTATTATGATGTTATGACTTATAAATTATCATTATTTCATTTATTTGGCTGTGTTATTTAATTGAATGTTGAAAACAACCTTATTAAAATTGTCAAACGGCAAGTTTATCACTATTTATTTTATTTTTTTTGGCGCCCACCTAGCACCGCCTGGCCACCCGACTAGCGCCTACTGCAACCATGGTAAAGAATTATGAGTATTTAAAAAAAAAAAACAATAAAATAGTTCATTGACAATTCTATCGAGCCGTGGAGGATGTAAAGACCTTAGGGCGAAAGATTTCGTCGAGAAAGAAGTTGAAAAGATGGCACACAAATCGAGAAACAATTGAAGCTCTGTAAAATAAGAGCATTTTGCTGTCAAAAAATATGCAACATCAATAAATACAACACTGGCAAGGAATGATTCCACCCCAATTGTCATTAAATTTTTGTTGACTCTGAAGCTGTAAGTATTGGTAGTCTGGTAGAAGTTGCGTAAATACTCTGCGCGTGCATTTTCTTCTCAATATTTGTGACAGATATTTCTTTTTATTATTTTTTACATTTATTTTACTTTTTAACTTTTTAATATAATTTTTAAAATTTTATTTCTTTTCATTTTCTTTACTATATACTCCATACTCCATAGTATATATAAAGGGTTGATATCGTACGTGAATAGGTTCTTTGTAAAAAAAAAAAAAAGAGAATAAATCTCATTCGTTTATTATAAAATAGTGAATGGATAAAATCTTTGAATAAAAAATGTGATGAAATTTTTGTAAATATGTAAAAATTTTATTACATTATTTGAAAGAAAATACCATAATTTTGGTAAAAAAAAAAAATACTGTTTGGCAAAAAATAGTATTATTTTGAAAAATCTATAGGAGTTTAAATTACTTAAAAAGTACCTGTATTTTTGTAAATATTCATATAAGCCAGTGGTCCAACTAATAAACTCAAGGACTAGAGGTTTAATTTTAAGGTTAAGATAATAAAAAAATAAATCTTGATAAAAATCAACACAATTAACTTAAAATGATAAATCTAATGATCTTAGGAGCTGACTTAAAATCTTATGAGTTGGTTTGGTTCACAACTTTAAACGTAAGCATTATTATTATTTTTTAAAGATAAACACTAGCATAAGTACTATCTTACGTGTTATTCATAGTTGTACCCATTGTTTTTTTTTTTTTTTTTTTTTTTTAAATAAAAAAAAAAGAGAGAGAGAGAGATATAACTCTAAGCATAATTCATAAGGCATCCTAAAATTGTTTTTAATACTGTGATGCATGATGGATTATGTGAACAGCTTTGCAAGTGTGATGTTTTTGCAATATAATGCAAAGAAGATTAGTCACATCTCCATTGGGAGGTGATTTTTTTTTTTTTTTTTTTTTTTTTAACTGCCTTGTGGTCTGACAAAATGCTTGTTTATTGGCTCTCTTTGCATGAAAGTGAGTGAATCTGCAGCATAAGTTCATAACAATGAGGAACAAACAAAAACAAAGTGGACTGTTTTTAAACAAAAGAGATACCTTATTTAACTATAATTTAAAATTTGTTCTCCTAACAGAAATCTCTAACCCAATTCTCAATTTAGGTTATATATCCACAAATTATATTGTAGACTAGAGTACATTTTACGTGATAGACTCTCATCCAAAACAACGTTGTTTTATATTAAGTGCTAACTAGTGCAGCATCTTTTATAACATTATGGAAAGAAAACATTTTTAGTTCCTAAATTATTCATTATTAGATGTTTTAATTCCTAACTTTTTACCGTTACAATATACACCTCTAACTCTTTAAAAAGTTACCGTTTTATTAATCCATGGAGCAACAAAATTATTAAACTCTATTAAAATTTTACTTGTACATATGTATTTTAGTACTTTTTAATGTCTGTTATTTAATTATAATATTCTTTAGTCTTGATATTTCATTTGTAAAATAAAAAATTTGATTTTAACCAATTTGTATAGAAAAAATTATATATGGATGATGTACACAATTGAAGAGGAAAAATTTTAGGGAAGAATGTTGTCAATTCTTTATTTTGCATATGAATAAATACTAAAACTAAAAAAGTTATAAAGAATAAAGATAATAAACTTTTAAAATACTCATGTATTAAGTATATTGTTAGGAATAAATTGTAATAGATTTTGATATGTCAAATTTGTATTTGTAGAACCCCCAATTTTTATTTGGTTTAAGTCTAGTTGAGTCTTAGACCATGATCGGGAAATTATTAATTAAGAAGTAAAAGAGAAAAATAGAAGATGAAGATGTATGAAAAATGGAAGAAGATATCAAACCTAAAATAAAGAATTTGTCTGGATAAAATGACAAATAGAAGAAGAAGATGTATGATATGAAATTCACGCGAATACCTTACTCAAAAAGAATTTCCAGAAGTATATTCGATGAAGACGATCAAGATTTGAAGTTTGCATGAATTTGACTTGAAGATCAAGCATCTATGGAAAGAAAGGAGTACATCAAACAAGATTGAAGATATAACTAAATGATCGTACAAATGAGTTGGAAGTTGCTTGAAATATTATATGTAATGGTTTAAGTTTGAATCTCATCATCTATAATTTTACAAGGTAAAATGGTAAAATTTGAAGTGGCTTTGAGTGATTTCGAAATTAACTGAGATACAATTGCGCTAGTTTGGCTTTGAGTGATTTCATGTGTGCTCGCGCTTTGAGTGATCACTTGGGTGCTAGTTTGGCTTTGAGTGATTTCACTGCG